GGGAGAATCCTTCTTTGCCTCTTCCAGGTTCTAGTAGCTTGTAGAGTGCCTTGGCTTGTGGCAACAAAACTTCAATCTGTCTCCATCTTCCCGTGGCCTTCTTCTCGGTGTGTCTTTGTGTCTTAAATCTCCCTTTCCTTTCTCTTGTAAGGATACCAGTCATTGGATGTAGGGCCCAACCCAAATCCAGGATGATCTCATCCTGAGATCCTTCATTTAGTTATATCTGCAAAGATCCTTCTTCCAAATAAGGTCACATTCTGAGGTTCCAGGTGGACATGCCTTTTGGGGCCACTATCCAGCCCATGACACTTGCCTCTGGCACTCCTCCAGATCCAGCTCTGCAGATGCTCAAGAGGTAAATCTGAGAATCTCCTACCCCCCTTCCTGTTTCCTCCTACTTTCGTGATTTGGGAGTTTGTGGCCCCAACTTTGGCTAACACCTCTCGAGGGCTGCCTCAGATATTGGACACCTTCTATCAAGATACATGATAAATTGGCAATGGCAGGTAGGCTTCCTCGCTATTGATTGGGTTGAAGCTGGCAATCCTTTATGTATTTTTCCATTTCCTTCTCTTCTTTTTTCTTGTCTTGTTTGTAAATGGAAAGGCTAAATAAATCATTTTGAGTTGTGTTGTGATTTATACATGGCAGCAGAATGTGGTGAATAAACTATGACAGCCTCATTTCTTTTTTTTTTTTTGCAGTACACGGGCCTCTCACCGCCGTGGCCTCTCCCGCCGTGGAGCACAGCCTCCGGACACGCAGGCTCAGCGGCCATGGCTCACGGGCCAAGCCGCTCCACGGCATGCGGGATCCTCCCGGACCGGGGCACGAACCCGCGTCCCCTGCATCGACAGGCAGACGCCCAACCACTGCGCCACCAGGGAAGCCCCTCATTTCTTACCTACTTTGGGCTAAATGTACTTCTTGATGTCAGAGGATTTCACGGAACCAAATAAGCCGGGGACAAGCAGTGCTGTCTCACTGGGCAGAACCTACCGACGCTAAGTCATCTCTAAAGCAGGTCAGTGTGTGCTTGTTCCCTCCCCAAACCTCCCACACAAAGATTCATAACCAGGAGAACTGGTAGAAGCTACCTAATGAAAAGGAGATTCACAAAAAAGAAAAAAAAAACAAGCCAAAAAGGGAATTTCCTGGTGGTCCAGTGGTTAGGACTTTGCACCCTCACTGCCGAGGGCCTGGGTTTGATCCCTGGTTGGGGAACGAAGATCCCACAAGCTGTGCAGCATGGCCAAAAACAAAGGGGGGGGGTGTTCACAAAGGTGAACCTGGGGTGAATAGACAGGTAGATGGGTTATATCCCATTTTTGTAAACAAAACACTGGTATTCTCATTAACAAATTGGTGGGAATAAAAAGTGAGATGGGGGCTATTGCAAGCATCAGATGTTTTGTCCTTTGTAGCACGTTACCTTGTTTCCAGTTACAGCACTTTCACCTTCCTTTAGGGAGCTACCCTCCCAAGTTCTCAGCCTATGTGGTTTAGATCAGGTTTAACCCACCCTTTGGCTTCAAAGGTAGAGATGTGAACCAGCCTGGGCTATTGGGTGACCTCCTGACCATATGATTGATTCAGGGGTAAACAAGTGACCAAAGCTGGTCCCTAGAGCCAATTAGCCTTAGTCCTTGGGCATTATTGGCTGGAACTAGTGGGAAAGAGAGGCCTTCTTTTCAGTGGTTGCTAAGCTGGTAGGATGTCAGTTTAGAGGGGCTGCTATCTCTGCCTGTCACCACCTGGGAAGCCCACCTAAAGATGAAGTCCACACAAAGGAAGCAGGCTGGGGGACAGGGACAGAATCCTGGTGACATGAACTGGGCATCCACATCCAGTTGTACCTCAAGCTGGGGTTATCTTTTTTTGCTTAAGCCAGTTTGAGTTTGGTTTCTACCACCTGCTGCCAAGAGTCCTGATAAATATAGGAATCTTCTGAGGTCATAAGAAATGAGTGGGTCTGTTATCCACGGGTCTACAATAATGATAACCAGCATTTATTGCTGGATTTTGTGCTAATTGCTTAAGTGTGTCATCTCATGTAATCCTCATAACACCCTATGAGGTATCAGTGCCCCCATTTTAAGACAAATTACAGCACAGATAGGTTAAGAAACTTTTGCAAGTTTACACAGCTAGTGGCAGTGCCAGGATTTGATCCCAAGATGCTGTCTCCAAAATTTCCGCTCTTAACTAGCAGAGTATAACTCCCTGATGTTACTCAGAGCTCTTAGTTGCAAACAAAATAATACACCTGGCCAGTTTAAGCAGGTCTGGAAGCTATATAACCAGGGATATGTCCAACCTCACTGCAATGCTCCAGTGTTACCACCATTCCATACCACATCACGGGCCTCCAACATGGTGGGTCACAACAGTGATGCTTGGGACTGGGTACCAGAAATGCCACCTCTGCTGCTGTTGAACATCTAGCCACCTCCACCACAAGATGATTCTGGGAATGTCTGCTTCTTTACTTTTCTCTCCTTGGAATCCCAGCCCTATGTGGGTACATCTGATTGGCTGAGCCAGGCCACATACTTGTGCTCTATCAGCAAGGAAAGCTGGGAAATGAGTTTTGCCTTCTGTTCTTTGAATCAAGAGGCTCAGTGGCCACAGCATAACAGCAATCTGACTTTTTTGATTCTAGAAATCTTAATATGCCATGTTTGGACCAAACCAAGTTTGGTTCTTACACTTCGGAGTGCATCAGAATTACCTGGGGAGCTCGCCGAAAACAGATGCCTGAGCCCACACCAAAACCTACAGACAGAATCAAAATCTCTGATAATGAGGCGAGGGCATCTATATTTTTAATAAGCTCTCAGGGGATTCTGATGAACACTGAAGTTTCAAAAACATTGACCTAGAGGATTTTGTTGTCTAAATTGGTCCACACCATGTTTGTTCAACTATCACCCTCATCCCTCTAAACCTAGGGATTACTCAGTTCTGATAAGTGCTGAACTAAAGATGCAGTCCTTCTGTGTGTTGATATGCACTAATTAGAAAGAATATAAGGACTTCCCTGGTGGCGCAGTGGTTAAGAATCTGCCTGCCAATGCAGGGGACACGGGTTAGATCCCTAGTCCAGGAAGATCCCACATGCCACAGAGCAACTAAGCCCATGTGCCACAACTACTGAGCCTGCACTCTAGAGCCCGCGAGCTACAACTACTGAGCCTGTGTGCCACAACTACTGAAGCCCACGTGCCTAGAGCTCACGCACCGCAACGAAGAGTAGCCCCTGCTCGCCACAACTAGAGAAAGCCAGCACGCAGCCATGAAGGCCCAACGCAGCCAAAAATTAAAAAATAAATTTATTTTTAAAAAAGAATATAAATGTGATTTTTTAAAAACCTCTTTATGATTAGATGGTAAAAGGAAATGCTCTGAATCCATCTTTTCATGTTTTCTTAGAAGGACCACAGTATTATGAATGGGTCAACTGACATCTTATACGTTGATAGGGTGAATACTAATCTTGTCTTTATTGACAAACCAGTTTGACTGATAAACATTTTTAACTCTAAGAGTCTCAGTTTCCAAGTATGACAATTTTATAAACCAGTGTACAAGGCTGTTGGGAAAAAAAGACATTTAAAAGACCATAACGTGTCCAGTTAAAATGAAGACTGAAAATTGGGTACAATTTCTAGATTGATTTTTCTGGCCAGTGTCAAATTAATTATGTCTGTACCTGTTGTAAAAAGTAGCAACCTTAGGTTAATAAACTGCTTTCTTTAAATGTATAGTGTGGATGAGGTATTACAGTATTATGTATTCTTAGGGGAGCAAGATGTGTTGCTTTCAGCATTACTCAAAAAGATAAAAATCATCCTAAGTTATATCCATAGGCAACTCCATTTCTTCTTTTCTGTCCAGTGATAAAAGGAGCAAGTTTATTTTTATCTCAGAGCGCTGATTATGTAAAGAGAAAACTTTAGGACAAAATACCTGATCATATGGTCTGTTCAGCCAACATTAACCCATCCTAAGGAAACCAAATGGAAGTTCTCTAAAGGGCTGCACAGTGGAAAGGAGGTGATCAGACAGACTTGAAAATGAGCTTCAAAATGCTTTTCAATATTCTAGCTTAGGTTCTGGACATTTTTCAGTCTTAATACAATCATGTACCTTTGCTGTTTGCCATTATCTATAGTCATCTTTTATTAGCAAATGCAGAAACTGATATCTAAAAGTGTATTTGCTAGCTTAGTTCAAATAATACCTTAGCTGCCAAAGCAGTTACCTAAGACTTTAAAATACTTCAGTAACATTCACTGATTAATTCCCCCAAGGAAAATAGTCACAAGGCACCCACTCTGAAGTTCATCTTTAGCATCCCATTGAGCCCCCTAACCCTTTCAATGTTCTGTACTTCCAGGGCATTCAGTGCTCTCACAAGGACCCAGGCAGCCAGGGACAAGGATCTTATAACCTAACTATTGCTCCCAGGGACTCTCCCATTTTAAAAGGCACCCAAGAGAAGGCAAAGTCTAATGAAATTAGACTGAATTACCACTGACAGTGTAATCTTAAACCCTGTAGCACCTGGCTGGTAAAAAATGTTTCAAGAATGAAAACTTTTAAGCATCAATTCACTCAAGAGAAATGATAATCCACTCCTCATAATGCAAGTATTATCATACTGGTGATTATAGCCATGTAACATAAAATGACTATGTATTTAAGAATATTTAATATAGGAAAGTGGAACGCATCAACAAGGGAGAGGGGAGTGTTTAGAGGAACATGCATGATAAGTGCGGCGATTCTCAAACTTGAGCTGACAAACAATAACGGGATAATTGTTAAAAACGGAGATTTCCTGACTGTAACCTCAAAGATCCCCATTCAACAGGGGTGGGTTTGGGAATCTGCATCTAAACAAGCTCCCCAGGTGATTCTGATGGAGGTGGTTCAAGGTTCTCAAATTAAGAAACAGAAAAAAAAAAAAAAAAAAAAAGAAACAGGTCTACTGTATTCTCCAGTCCCCAAATGAAAAGGTTCTGCCATGTCCTGGAATTCTAAAGATTAATTGCTATCAATTAATTAATTGATTGATATCAATCGATATCTATTGAATTCATCTGGTGTTATTTAGCTCTTAAAAAGGCTGTATATAATCCTCAATAATTAGGCCTAAGAGGAGGAAATGAACAATCATTTATAACAAATTCTGAAAAAAAAAAAAACGCAAACAGCTCTACTTAAATAATTGCAGGTTTGGTGATAAAGTATAGGCAGGAGTTCAATGTACTAATATTCTGATAACTGATGACCGTTATTAGTGAGGATTCACACAGGTTTTTAGAGCAAGGGCCTAAGGTATGAATTCAGATATGTTTAGGAAATTCTGGAAGGCCAGTAAGGTAGATCTTTGATGTTAGGATACATCAGGCCAACTCCTGTGCGACGTTTATGACTTGACCAAGAGCCACTCTCCTCTGGGAGGCTCCTTTTACCTTCTAAAATCGGGTTAATTGCAGTTACATGGGCTTCCTAGTATCTGCTGGCACAGGGACCAACCCTACGCGTATTTCTCACTGTCCACCGCCCACACTGGTGCGATTCTTCAAACACCAAAGAATGAATGCTTCAGGGTTTTTGCATACGTGGTCTGTAAGCACCTTTTGGCAGGAAAGGGCTGGTTGCAGGAAAGGGGGCTCTGCAGGAGGCCCCTTTTGTCTTATCACTTACCTTAAACCTGGCAGCCCCATGCTCTACTCAACTCGGGTCCCAGCACACCTTTCAATTTTTTGATCACACAATACCTTGCCTAACCTGTTCTTTCCATGGATCAAAGTAGAAATGAAGAAAACATATATAACAGATGATCAGATCTCTTCCCTAGCTTCCCCTTCAGTAATCTCACGAACAAACCGTGTGAAGCCAACTGTGTGAACAAGACAGCATCTATAAGCCTGCACGACGAGCCTGCACAGAGCGGGATGGGGATGACTCTGATCCCCCCATCTCAATGATTGAGGTTACTTCCCTTTTTCCGTTTAAAAACTTTCCTGACTGAGCAGAATCTTTGGAGGTGGTTTTAGGGGGACACTGAGTCCACAATCTCCCCAGATCGCCAGCGTTCTGATTAAAAAAGCAGCTTTCCTTTCTCGCGACATTTGCCTCTCTCTTGAGTTATTGACTGAGCAGCGAGCAGCCAGACCTGATTTGGTAACAAGTCATTTTTCAAACTGCTAGTTTGTCATTTTTTTAGGTTTCAGCTTAAATAACATCTCTTCAGATAGATTTTCCTTATCACCTTACTCAGGTAGGATTTCCATCCTCAATCACCTGTTGGATTGTCCCATTACCCTGTTTTCTTTATAACACTAACCACAGCTTGTGGCGCCCCCCCCAGTTTTACGGAGAATTGACATACATCACTCATGAGTTTACGGTGGACAGCACAACGGTTTGATTTACATATTGTTAAATGATACAACAGGTTGCGCTAACATCCATCTTCTCATATAGACACAATAAAAAGAAAAAAAAATTTCTCCTTGTGACGCGCATTCTTAGGATTTACTCTCTTAACTTCCCTATACACCATACAGCAGTATTAGCTATAGTCATCATGATATACACTTACTTGGTCTTTTTAACTGAGATCTTCTGCTCTCCCACGTCTCACGAGGCAGGGAATCTGCGTTACTTACCTGTGAACACTCTGTAGTGACTAGCACAGAACCTCCTCTCATGGATGAGGGCTACGAATGTCTGGTTCACCACTGTGTTCTTAGCACCTAGGACACACCCGGGTATTTAACAAATGTTTACTGAATGAACAAACACATTATCTCCTTAAGAAATACTTATTATAGGGAACTGATCTGAAAACTCAAGGGCTTTCTTTCCTTGGATCCTGTATGTCCAGATTCCTATCATTCAATGCTTAGCTTTTGTATTGCAAAGTATCTCTTTGGTCACTTCCCCAGTTAAGGAAGAGAGAAATTTCTGTAATAACCTAAATGGGAAAAGAACTTGAGAAAGAATAGATATATGTGTATGTATCACTGAATCACTTTGCTGTACACCTGAAACTAACACAACATTGTTATTCAACTATACTCCAATATAAAATAAAAATTTTTAAAAAATAAAGAGAGAAATCCCAAGTCCTGTCTCCTTAGTAATTCGGTTTCTAACTCTGATCCTATATAACACAAAATTGGGACTTAAAAAAAAAAGAGGTTCATTTCCCCTGGAATTATAAAAGAATACATGCTTCCTGAAAGAATTCGAGAAGTAGAAAAAAGGAAAAAAAACAAACCCCAAACAAAAAAACCGTAAAATCTCATAATCAACCAATCCAGAAAAAACCCACCAACTGTCAAATAAAAATGGAATATTGGTTACAATCCCAGTGCCAGCCCCTCTTGTGCCATGGTGCTCTTAAGAGCATTTCCAATTTGTCTGTCTTGTGTTTCTAAATAGTTTATATTTGTAGTTATACTGGGGTAATGAAAATCTGGCAGGTGAGTTGGAGTGAAAGACTTTTTTTTTTAACCCACAACAGCCCACAATGATCTGGTTGGTTAGAATAAATCTTTACAGGATATTCTCCTTACGCACATTGCCTGCTTCAGATAAGCTAATAATATTAAAAGAAACAAAACAAAAATAAAAGACGACAACTTCTCAGATACAGATGCAACTTTATTCATACATAAAAAAAATCACACCTCAGGAATTCTTCTTTTCTAAAAACAGTCTTTTAATTATAAAGTTCAAGATGAAAAGATTGAAAGGGGCAGTGTATAACTTTTTAATTTTGTACATACTCTAGTCACGGTTAAATATTTAAGCTGCAAAAAAATATACCTCTCCTATAATAGGAAATGCACAACCTTTTGTAACTGCAGACTAAAATGACATGATGGTGTCAAAAGCCAAAGTAAAAAAATTTAACAGTCTGAAGTAGAAGACTTGGTACTGATGTTACATGGGTACTATCCTAGCTACTTCCCCCATGTTGGCTATTCCTCTTAGGTATACAACTCAACAGAGACTTTTTTGTGAACAATACTTGTCATTGCCATGGAAAAAGTGAAGAGAAGTGATAAGGGCTCCTGTAAATAGTCTAAAAACTATCTCCCACGATCATATGTTTCTAAGTAATATGTAATGTTAACATTATCCACCCTATATAAGAAACAAAAAGTGCCAAGATGTTTCAGGATCAAATAATTTATATGATAACTGTTAATCTATTCTGGAGCATGTAGGCCTCAGTACCATCTAAAGCCCAACCTTACTTCCAAAAAAAATCATTAATTCAAAGAACCATAAAATGTTCAAGTGATAAATGTCAAGTAGCTGTTACATCTGAACAAGATAAAAAATTCTTCGAAAACTGTAGCTTTTCTTTTCTTTCTCTGTTTGGCATAGGGCTTAATTTATGATATTTTTCCCAATACAAAAAAATTTATTGGATGAGACAGCCTTATTATGGGTGTAGCTACCACCGCTCACCTTTTGTCTCCCCTCCCAATTCCCCCACTTGCTAAAGCCATTTATTTACCAGTAACGATGTTATTATTTGAAGGATCAAAATCTACCTGAGATGACAATTTAGACAGCTGAACAAAATCATATAATTTCAGGGACAATGAACTTAAATGTCACCTTCACCAAACAGTAAAGAATGTTAAAATGTCTGCTCCCCTCTTTGAACTTAGTGTTGTTCTTTTTTCTTCTTCATTTTTAAGTTTCAAAAGAGGTCACAGCTCTACAAAATTTGGCCAAGAAGTACAGAAAATTAAAAAGTTCTTAGCAGAAAATGTCAACAATCCCAATTTTCTGCCAAATGGAGAGGAGAATTGATTTACCAGGCCTTTTGCGGCTTTGGAAGAGGGAAGGGAATAAAATGAAGACCACCTGTCTATCCTGTTCAGATAGCTACTTCCTTCTTTTATTGTCAATGTTGTTATATTGGGTTTGGTCTCTCCATGGGGCAAAAACCTCTGGCTTGGCCTCACATTTCGTTAAAACTGTCCTCAGGGTGGCATGAGAGAGCATTAGACCTGAGGTACCATGTAAGGTGGTCACTCATGGAAAGTATTAATATTTTCTCCCTTTTGTTAAGGTCACAGACATTCCAAGGGTGATGGAAGAAATAATAAATACATACTAGAGAAATATCCCTATCTACCTTCAGGTAAGGAAAGCAAAGCAAAAGTAAGTATCCAAAGATGACACTTTTACATTAAAAATACCAAAACTTCTCAAAAATATATATTAGGAATTTACATAAGGATGAGGAATTAGAAAACATTTATTCCTTTCGTCAGGGAAAAAATCATAACAAAATTAATGAAAGTAATAGATGCTCCTGTACAAAGTTTTCTGTTCAGAAAATATCATCCACTAAAAATGACATCTTTGGTCAAAAGGTAGCTCTGTTCAATCTGCTTAGACTAGACTTTTTCAATTTGCTTAGGAGAAAAATTCATCTTACAAATAGTAACACTCTGAGTAGGTTACGGTTATGGAAGATCATTGTACTTCTATGATCAGGAGAAAAATCTGTCACATAATTTGATTGAACAGTTTATTCAGTTTTCATGAAGCCTAGATGAGCCAGGACTCAGAATCTTTTTTCATTAAAACCGTGTGCTTCATCAAAACTAGAGCACAGAACTAGCAGAACCATCGGGATTAATCTGTAAGAAAATATAACTTCCAGAATTTGAATTTAAGCTTTAACTATTAAGAGTTTTGTTTAATATCTTAAGGGGCAGTGCTTAAAGCATCACAAACTTACAATACTACAATACTCCATCTGTGTTTTTTTTTTTTTAACATCTTTATTGGAGTATAATTGCTTTACAATGTCGTGTCAGTTTCTGCTGTATAACAAAGTGAATCAGCTATACATATATCCCCATATCTCCTCCCTCTTGCGTCTCCCTCCCACCCTCCCTATCCCACCCCTCTGGGTGGCACAAAGCACCGAGCTGACCTCCCTGTGCTATGCAGCTGCTTCCCGCTAGCTGTTTTACATTTGGTAGTGTATATATGTCAATGCTACTCTCTCACTTCGTCCCAGCTTACATCAGGGTGGTTTTGATTACAGTTTCCATTTCCATTTTTGTATTCAGGGATTATGAGTTTGATTTTTTTTAAGTTACTTATGACTGATATAAAAGATCTGTCCCCAGTAAATTAGCTAAAGCACGTTAAATATAAATGAATCAAGTCAGATCATCCCAAAGCAGGTTAAAGACTTAGAAAGCTTTGGTGGAGATCACAGAGACCAGGTCTCAGACTTCACACTGGGAACGGTTAATGGTGTTCTCTTGTCCCTCAGATTGCCTTCCCTAGAAATAATTACTGAAGTTGGAAAAATCAAAATAGTTTTTCCTTAACACATGAAAAATGCAGAGGTCCCTCCTTCTGACTTAGAAACGAACAAACCAAAAAATCCAAACCACAAATAAAAAGCCCTGATTGCCACAACAAGCAAATTGATAACAAAATGGACAAAACCTCCATACCCTCTATTTTCAAGTAAATGTTGTGTATTCACTGGCTGCAGTTTAGAGGGAAACCCAAACAATTTCAAATTCATGGATTCACTGTGAGGACCCGACACACTCACCCAGGGCAAGTTCATAATATCTGATGAGGGGGTCTGAGCTGTGGGAGAGACTCAGTGGATGGTCCTGACCAGATCTTAACTGGGCACTTGTGAGACAGCACAAAAATTAGGGAGTGGCGGGGAGCGGGGGGAACCCTCAAAAAAATTATTTGAAGAAAAGCTGACATTTCCTCAGAAGCCAAAGACACATAAAATTCTACTCTATGTAAGACACACTGATTTCATGTTTCCACGTGACTTTAAAGGACGCGTGGTTTGTAAGACTAAAGCAATCCTCTAATCTTAAGAAACTCAAAATAAAGGAAGAAAGATGGACAGACAGAAAAAAAGAGTATTCTTCAACTCTTCTTCATTGCACAGGGAAATCCCCCTGAAGTAAGAATAAGAAAATTCAGTAAGTTGGAAAATATTTCTCACTTTAACCGTATTTTCCCTGAAAGTCACATTTTAATATTGATGTAGGTTTCATACAATTAAAAATCACAAAGATTTTAAGAAGCAACCTTAGCTTTTATGTAATCACCATTACGAACCCTTGTCAGTTCGGGCTATGTATGAGTGATGTAACGGTTTTGAACCTTAGCTTACAGAGAACATTTCAAAAGCAATGAACATCTTTTGTGATCTTGTTTAACATAAAAAGACTGCTGGCAAACCTCATTCCTTAATAAAGCATGCATATTTACCCAAGCTTCAAACCACACTTTCCTTTGCCATGTCTCACAATGAAAAGCTTTTATTTCAGCATTTTGAATAGTAATGCCCTGTTAGGTTATTACGAGGACAAGTCTACTTTTGCAGTATACAACATTTTTTATTCCACAAGGCTGAATTTTCAAACCTCACAGTTTACTTAGAAAATAAAGATCTGCAGGTTTATAATCTACTTTATTATAAAAGGAAATAAATTTTTACACAGTTATATATAACAGTATTTAGAAAAGTTCAAATTTATCAGTACGAAAATATACCTCACTGAAATATACTTACTTATAAAAACATATTGCCTTTGCCATGTGAAAACCTGGTGTTTAGTTCCCTAGATTTCTTTATCAGGGCTTTTTTCTGAGCTTCATCAAACCGATGAACTTTGAGATCCATATCACGGTTAAATGGTATTCTTTCTTGGGGCTTATTTTTATCTTCAGCAGCCTTATTCTTTAGTTTTTTCTGATGAATGTCCATAAGAGATTCTGGTCTTTTTGATTCCTGGGGAGAGCAAGACAGTAGAAAGAAAAATCTTATATAGATCATTGACAGAATATAATCATGAAACAAAAGAATGAAGTAGTAATGGTAAACATGAAGGAGGGCTATTTACAAACCCAATAGGTTTTTCCAAATCTAAGACAGCATCTCTGAAGGAAATGTGTTATCAGAGGCAAATTCAATTATACCAAAATGAAGGTATCTACCAACTATATGCTACACAATAAAAAAAGAGCAAGACGGAGAGTAAACTAATGTTTAAATAACCCTCATGAAAATCATTGTGTGATTAGTCAGCATTAGAGGCTGAACCAAGAACACAGGTGAGAAAGAAGAGCAACTACTTTCTCACTTGGGAGCCCGGTTAAAGCTTCATGGATGGGCTGGTCCGTGAACCCTGAACGGGTGGAACTGAAGAGACGGGCACTGCCAGGCTGAGGCTAAGGCAAGTGCAAAGCAGAACAACCGCGGCGCAGAGATGACAAGATCCAAGGCCGGTGCAGGAAAAGCTGGCATAGTCTGTGTGCCAAGAGAATTTTTGTCCTTTCAGCTTTATCGCCTTCATTTTCTTTCTTTTTAGCTGGGGTAGGTGCTCACATTTTCTTTTTCTTTTCCTTTTTCTTAAATTGAAGTATAGCTGATTTACAACACGTTAGTTTCACATTTTCAAATATATCTAGTAGGATGAGGTTTGAACAAAGTCAACTGGTTTCATAAATTGGACAGTCTTTACAGACCTTTTGGTATTGGTTAAACTAAAAGACAGAACAGCCCTGGATTGGAGAAGCAGGGAGTGGGACGCAGGAGTAGATGCAGGTAGTACAGACCAGCAGCCATCAAACTGCGATATATGTATCCCTGGGGGCCACACGGGGTGGATTCCATGGGGTACGAAGGCATGGAGAATTTCAACGTTACCTACTCATGATTCTCAACTTCTTAGCCTCACTTAAAGCTGACTTGCCTGGTAATGCATCTCGTGAGGATGTCTCCCCTTTCATTACAGCCCTTTCCTATTTAACAAAGGAGAGGCCTTTCAGAATCTTATTACAGAATGTTGTCTTGGACAGAAAGTCTCCAGAGCATCAAATAAAAAACCTGAAATACTGTATGAATGAAACTTCTTCTAATCAAGGAACTGTAAACCCAGGAGGCTTTGTGTCCTTTTGTGTCTCAAACATATTTCTCATAAGAGCATAATGTCCTTTCGGAATGGGTAGTTTGGCTCTTGTTGGAATGTTCTGAATTCAGATATACTGCAGAATGGGGCAATGAAAGAAAAGACAATTTTTGCTTAACAACCACATCTCTTCCAGGCCCTGCCTCCTGTCAGAGAATATATTTGAGAGCAAAGACATGAGGAGAGCTCAGTAAAAGCAAAATAACTGGTAAGAAACGATGAAGGTGGCAGCATCTTATTTTATCAGAAGACAAACTCATGGCACCTACCCACCTACGTTACAATTCAGAATAGTCATAGGAATGATCATAATCACATCTATTTGAACAGAGAAATGGAGTCAGACTTTCTCACAGAAAGTCAGTCTCAATCACCTGTATGATTTGACAATGAGATCTGACTTTATCAATTAAGTTATGTGGTTGCTATTTCCTATACATTGAGCTCTATCTGGATGCTGAATTAGTAAATATTTATTTGAATTAGCACTATTTCCATGTTCTCAATCCCTCTCATTTCATAAATTGGTCATTTCATAAATCTTGGTGAAGTCTTTAGGAAACAAATTGATTTGCAAGTTAAGTGCTTTCGAATTCTTTATTTTTAATGAAAACTGGAGGTGAAAAAAATCAAATGTTGCTAAGAAAAAATAACCTATCAATACACATAGCAGGGAGAAACAGTTTAGACCTAAAGTTCTGCATTTGGAAAAATCTGGTTAGCAATGATGGTGCTGACATTTTCAACACTGGTGACCTTAGGCAAGTTATTTAAGCCTCAGTTTTTCAGCTGTAAGATAATAAATCATAATAGTAATAATGTCTAAATATTTGGATGAGGTAGGAGTTAAGTAATCTAATTAATACAAAGGATTTAGTAATGTGGCGGGGTTCATAAGAATCAGTCAAGGGACTTCCCTGGTGGCGCAGTGGTTAAGAATCCGCCTGCCAATGCAGGGGACATGGGTTCGAGCCCTGGGCCGGGAAGATCCCATATGCCGTGGAGCAACTAAGCACGTGAGCCACAACTATTGAGCCTGCGCTCCAGAGCCCGCGAGCCACAACTACTAAGCCTGTGCGCCTAGAGCCCGTGCTCCGCAACAAGAGAAGCCACCGCAATGAGAAGCCTGCGCACCACTTTGAAGAGTAGCCCCCGCTCACTGCAACTAGAGGAAGCCTGCGTGCAGCAACAAAGACCCAACGCAGCCACAAAAAAAAAAAAAAAAAGAATCAGTCAATACATGTTAAGTATTCAATTTACTTAGCACATACTATATTGTAATCCTCACAACATCTCTATAAATTAACTGTTATTATTCCCATTATACAGATTTGGAAAGTGAGAATGAGAATATAAGCCCTGTTCAGGAGGGCTGGAGAGTCAGGGCACTATAGCCCTTCCTCACTCTCTTTACCCTGTCCCTCAGTATCCAGTAGGGTGGCAATGCTGCCAGCTTGTGACCTTTGGAGAAAAGATGGAAAATGGTCCTCAGCTGAGACGTTATTAAATGTCTAGCCGTTCTGAATGCAAAAAAAAAGACCAATGTGAAAAAAAATCAAAGTTGAGAGAGAGTTGACAGTTGAGAGATCATTAATAATAATTTTTTGTTAATAGATCATTATAAGGTTTAAGTAAGTAACAAAAATCACACCAAAAGCCAATTCATGTAGAGATCAATTTGCTAAATGACTGGTTTGCTGATTTACCAAATTTAATCATTTAACAAAAATGTGTAGGTTTTATATTAATTTGCAAAAAGCCAGGGCAATTTATTTTGAATGGGCGAGTTTTTCAGCAGTTTTTGAAAATTCATGCTAAGATTCTAGTTGTTTGGTTTTTATTTTGCCTTCATGGTAATATTTTAAAGAGTGTTCAATTTATCAATACTAAGAGTTATAAGGTGGTTTAGTCTTAAGACTATATTAATATTTTGAAAACTATATCTCATAAGTAACCAAAATTTCAGCATAAGATTAGAACGCTAATTTTTTGGATGTGTTTTAAAATAAATTGCAGACACTGTTACATGTATCCCTAGTATTTCAGCATGATTTCACTAACCAGAGTTCAATACTTGTTTACAATTTTTTCTTTTAAAGTAAATTTACATACAATGAAATGCGCAAACCTTAATACTACATTCATTGAGTTTTACAATTCAAACTCCTAGCAATTTCTGGAACATATTTCCATCACCTCAGAAAGCTCTGTATGCCCCTTCCTAGTCCATCTCCACAATCCCACTCCAACAACTATTCTGTTTTTTTCCCCACCATAGATTCATTTTGCTTATTGTAGAGCTTCATGTAAATGGAATCATACAGTAGTACTTGGGTAGGAAGTCTTGTGTAAGACTCCCTTCGCTCAGCATAATGACTTTGAGATTAATCCACGTTGTTGCATTTATTTGTAATTTGTTCCTTTTTATTGCCAGGTAGTATTTTATCATGAACACAGTTTGGCTTTTTCTTTCTCTTACTGATGGACAGCTGGGTTGCTTGAAGTATTTAGCTGTTATGAATAAAGCTTCTATGAACATTCCTGTATAAGTCTTTTAGAAGCTATTATGAGTGAAGCACGCTCGAGTCTACAAAAACATGTTTTCATCTGTCTTACATAAACACCCAGGGGTGGAGTTGCAGGGTCATAGGGTAGGTGTTCGTTTAGTTTTATAAGAAATGCCTGTTTGGAAAAAGGCCCAGCTTGTTAATTTTCAGCTATTCTTCCTTTCTAACATAACTCATTACAGCTATAAATTTTGCCTCTAAGTGCCACTTTATATTACACCTCACACATTTTGATATGTTGTACTGAATATTATTTTATCATTCAGTTTAGGTATTCCATTATTATGTCTTCTTTGATGTAAAGCTTAAATTTTGAATTATCTAATTTCCAGTTGTGTAGGGCTTTTAAGTTATTCTGAAGTTTAATTTAAATTCTTCGTGGTGCCTGAATGATGGTGATTCTTTCAATTTTGTTGAGACTTGACTTTGAGCTGGTCAGTTTTCAAAGATGTTCCATTTGGGTTGGGTTTCTGGTCAGTTTCCAACTATGTTTCATGTATGCTTCACTGTTTGTGGTACTGGTCTATATATGCCCAATAAATCATGCTAACTGTATTTTTAATGCTTATGGAAATTTTCATGAACTAATACGCTAGGAACAGAAGGTAATTTTCCTGAATACCTTTCAGGGACCAAAGGGTTCAATGGTTTACATTTATTCTTTGAGCTGGAACACTAGTGGTTTTTTTTGGGTTTTTTTGTTTTTGTTTTTTTTATGAGTAAGAGACTATTACAAAATAATAATATGCCCAGTGAATACTGACTGTTTAGTTTATAAATTTAAATTGAACCATATTTTAATTTTTATATTTATATAGATTTATATTTTTCTCCCATATTTAAATCATTACATCAAACATTCCAAATCACTTACAATTTAAAATGTAAGAATTGGGCTCTCTAGGAGTTAGTAGGGCTCTTACTTTATAATCATGTGCTACCCATCTTTAGGAATTGAATTTCTGATATATGACTTAAGTAAAAAGTGAACTGAAAATGTTATGAGATGCATTAAAAAAGCCTACACTAAAGGACTACACACACACACATATACACATACACACAAGAGTATTTTTCAGAACAGATGTATAGAAAAAGACTGAGATGAAAAGGAAGACTAAGAAAGAGAAACAAGAAAAAGAGAAAAAATGAGAAGAGCATTAAAAGATGGGAAAAAATGAAAGGCCATATATTTTATTCCCTGACTTACATTGTATGCGGATACCTGCTCGGCCAATCTCTTTTCCATTCCTGTCAATATATGTTCTTCATCCTTCTTATTGAATGACTTTCTTGCTTCTGGTGTCTCCTGAGGAACGAACACAGAAAACACATTACTAAACCATATAATTAAGAGAAAATAAAAAAAATACTATTATGTTAACTCAGATTGAGTAATAGGAGACTAAATGAAGCCAGGCCCGTTGAATCTCTTCCCACTAGAAATGTTAATATACTTGATACGGGATCTGTTAGTGTCCTACTCTAACATTTACCTGAAAACAAGAAAAAACCCCAAAACAACTCTAACCAATCAACTAACTGGATTTTATCAAACTCAGAGATGAGAATGACAAACAATAATGAAATGTAGAAGAGAAAATAAGGCTTAAAAAGAAATCTTATATTATCTGTTTTCAAAGCTAGGAAAAGCACTCTTGAGGGAAAAAAAATTAAAAGAAATAAATGGGGTACAGAAAAAATAAAAATAAAACTATCTTTGTTCACAGAGGACATGACTGGCAATGTAGAAAATGCCAACGAATCTATTAAAAAACTCTTGGCATTAGTAAGCATAAGTGTAGCAAAGCTGCAGGATGCTAGGTCAACATATAAAATATACCAGCAATGAACAACTGGAATTTGAAATTTAAAAAGAAATACCATTTACCATAGCACACACACACACACAAATGAAATACTTAGGTAAATTTCCAATAAATTTTAGTTAGGGAAAAAAAGTATTCTGGAGAATATAGTCCCAGCCAGGAAAGAAGAAGGCCCATATAAAATCAACTGAAAACCACTTTCCACAAAGCATGTTTTTATACTGTTGCTGTTTGCTTAAGAAAGCCAAGGAGGTCCCCACACCATTTTTACCTTAATGATGGACTAAAACAACATTGTACTTAATAAATAAAGTATGTTAAAAAACATACGAGTAGCTCATCTCTTCTTTTTCCATAAAAATTTCCCCAGAGAGATTCTTTTACTTGTAAATATTAAGAGAAAAAATGATGTTCTGATAAGATGGAGGTGAAAACCTGACCAGTTAAGAGTTAGTAAATCTAGTCAAGACTGGGAAAAGAGAACATAACAGATCTTATTCAATTAATTTATGCATAACACTGCCATTTCTTTCTAAAAAGAAATCTTACTTCATTTGGGCATGTTGGTTAAGTGAATGTGCGAACATTAGCGGTATGAGAGATGAATGCTGGGGAATCAAATATAAAAAAGTAAGATGAAGTGGTGGAGAAAATCTACAAAAAGGTAATTTGGAGAGAGATAAAAAAGGAAACTTGACTAAGATCTGTTACAAAAATCAAAAATTAGTCATGACCTTTATATAGGACAGCTCTGTGACACTATATAATTTGTACCACAAATATAAGTATGTGGTATTATATGCTGTAATACAGCGTCACATAAAATTTAAGGGGTATTAGTCATCCCTTTGGGAGTCTGTTGTAAACACAGAACAAAACACTTTCAGCCCTGAAAAGAATGACCAGATCTAAAGAACTCAGTCATAGGGCCTAAAATCACCTGAGTTCAAATTATACTGGCTAGTTTCTGTTTGTTCCGTTTCTCTGTGGTATTTTTCTTTGAGGAAGACTCCCTGCATATCTGGCTGTAGGCTAGACATCTACTCACATACAATGAGGAACACAAGGACTGAAAAAAGCACAAATAAAAAGTCCACGTAAGCAAGGGGATTAAATGTCTTTTTGGAGACAATCTTAAAGGCTAAATTATAAAAAGCGTCAGTATGTTATTTTTATAGAAGACCAGTTAAGAAAGAGCAGACAGGCGTTCCAACACTAGTCATTCACGGTGTGTGGCTCGCTTCTATACCGTATCTTCTGTTGTCTCTTCTGCCCTCAGGTGTGTTGGTTCACCTCACCTTTCTGTTACAACTCTCAGATTTCCTTGAATCCTCCGGGCAAAGGAGAACTTATGATTTTGCCACATATTCTGCTAAAATGTGGAGATTGCCACATATCATCCACATGTTAAGAATGACACTATTTCACAACCAATTCTCCACTAAAATGAAAGCGCCATAAGGAGCTTTTTCTATTACCCATGACCAAACAGAATACCTGGCAGAGGAGATATTCAATTTACAGTTATAGAATGAAGATGGAAATCCTCATAATTCTAGGTACTGATGAACAAGATAAACAGAGTTAGGGGAGTGAATTTAAGTCAGAACTGATAAAGCTATAATCATAAGATGCCAATTAGTCAAGCATTTAAGATTGGAATGGGACATCTCAAGGAAACTGAAACTTTGGGATGGAGTGAATTTAAGGAGTTAGTGCTGAGGACACTGGTTGGACCCCTAACTTACAATGGAATATTTCATAATAAATGGAGAGATCCAAGAAAAGAAAATCTAACAATAATATTTTATGCATACTTTTGTGGGTATTTTTAAATTAAATTATTCAATATATTAATGAAAGGGCTTTTTGCCTATCTTGACAGTAATATGAAGTTTACTGCACTTGAGCTACTGTTATTTTCAGAGAGTCCCTGTGTATCACTTAACTTGCTAGGTTAATCTGTGCCTTGGCTTGTTCAAGACATTTTAAAAGAAATTTTCATGGATAGTATGATGTATAAAGACCAGGGGATTTGGAGTCAGAAAGGTCTAGAAGGGAATTACTGTTCATGACTTACCAGCATTTAATTCCAGAAAAAGTGACCTCATAGAGGATAGTGTCTCCCTTCATAAAATGAGGTCAGTAAACCTATGTCTCCAGGTTCTCTTGAGATTTAGATGAGACAATTTATTGGGAAATAGTAAGTAAATACACAGGAAGCAACTGGCATCACTTTCTTTTAACTTTCCTTCAGGGGAAATCTTTTCCCTTTGGAATCATAATTTTAAAAACAGTACTCTTAAATAATTCTGCCTCCTATTTTTTCAAAATAGAGTCAACATGGACAAAAATACAGGAACAAACAAACCCTCTTACCTTAGCTTTCCTTTCCCTGTCAGCTGGCATATCTGTCCAGACTGATCGATCTCCAGATTTGTCATCAGCTCTTCTCTTGAAAGTTCTAGGCCCAAGACCAAAGTTTTTCAGCTCCGGAGGAAGCTCAGTCATCCAAGAGTCTCTTGTAATTGTTTTAGATGAATCCTTTAAGAGAAATAAAAAGTAAAAAAAAAAAAAAGTAGCCTTGGAAAATGTGTATATGTGTGCGTGTGTGCACATGTGTGTGTATATGTGTAGAATACTGTATAAGTGACTATGCTTCTCAACTGAGGCTTGAAAGTTATTTAACAGACTTTAAGAGAAAAGATTTAATAGACTATTTTTTTTTGGTCATATATGTTATGAATACTTTTATTTAATTTATTGTTCCTTTGACTTAATGTTATCTTTTGCCATACAGAAATTTTTAAGTAGGCAAAATTTCTACCCTTTTCCTTTTATAGCTTCTGAATTACCTAGAGCCTAAATTTTTATACACTTACATATGTACATATACATTTTTTTAATGTCCGTTTTTAAAATTGAGATTTTTTAATATATTTGGTCAATTTCTCAGAGAAAAGTGTACTATGTATTTAAAACTTACATCGTCTCCTTTAGTCAGTTTTTCTTTCATTCTCTGGGCCCTTTTTTCAAACTCTGTCGTAACACTAGAGTTAACTGGTCCTTTGGCAGGCATCGGCCCAATAATGTCCTCCTCTTCACTGCTACCTGTTTCCTTCTGAAATAAGAAAATGATCCTAAATTACTTAAAATTTAACTGTGACTGATAACCTAGAAACAGAACAAAAAGCAAACACTGTGTTGCTGGCTAATCACTGAGCACCTTTCCTGAGCCTTTCTCAAGTGCACCATACAAAAATGACAAATCCAGGGGCTGTGGACTGTCTCACCTCTTCCCTATGTCCATGGCAGAGCTCATTAACTCATCTCAGTCCTCTTCCTGATGGACATAGATGTGGTCTCACAATTTCTCTGTAATATTCCAGAGAATTATTAATGATTCATCAGAGATGACACAAGTTGAAACCATTTTCTTTCCTGGTACAGAAAGAGCTCTTTGGAATAAGATGCACACAAATAAGACATTCTTGGAAGCTGTATCAGCCTTCATGATTTAGCACAGTCCACTGAAACAGAAATGCTGTGCAAAGCCTTACAAAATACTGGCCTGAACAAGTTAATTTGGTTCCCAAAGTATTTCTCTCATTACCCCAAAGACACAATAGTATTGCAATAATTGAATTCAAGTAGTTCTTAGTAAATCATTTTTTTTAAGTTAATTTTTTTAAAGAACAGTGATCTTAATTTTTTTTTTTTTTTTTGGCTGTGTTGGGTCTTCAATGCTGTGTGTGGGCTTTCTCTAGTTGTAGCTAGTGGGGGGGCTACTCCTCGTTGCGGTGCGTGGGCTTCTCATTGAGGTGGCTTCTCCTGTTGCGGAGCACGGGATCTAGGCGTGCGGGCTTCAGTAGTTGCAGCACATGGGCTCAGTAGTTGCGGTGAACACGGGTTCTAGAATGCAGGCGCAGTAGTTGTGGCATATGGGCTTAGTTGCTCTGTGGCATGTGGGATCTTCCTGGACCAGGGCTCGAACCCATGTCCCCTGCATTGGCAGGCGGATTCTTAACCACTGAGCCACCAGGGAAGTCCCATTAGTAAATCATTTTATTAAAGGGTTTTCATGTAAGACTGTGTTAGATGCTATATGCACTTGGGTAATAGCCAAAGCAGTCTTGAGGGAAAAAAACGGAGCTGGAGGAATCAGACTCCCTGACTTCAGACTATACTACAAAGCTACAGTAATCAAGACAATATTGTACTGGCACAAAAAGAGAAACATAGAACAAGATAGAAAGCCAGAGATAAACCCACGCACCTATGGTCAACTAATCTATGACAAAGGAGGCAAGGATATACAAAGGAGAAAAGACAGTCTCTTCAATAAGTGGTGCTGGGAAAACTGGACAGCTACATGTAAAAGAATGAAATTAGAACACTCTCTAACACCATACACAAAAATAAACTCAAAATGGATTAGAGACCTAAATGTAAGACTGGACACTATAAAACTCATAGAGGAAAACACAGGAAGAACACTCTTTGACATAAATCACAGCAAGATCTTTTTTGAGCCACCTCCTAGAGTCATGGAAATAAAAACAAAAATAAACAAATGGGACCTAATGAAACTTCAAAGCTTTTGTGCAGCAAAGGAAACCATAAACAAGACGAAAAGACAACCCTCAGAATGGGAGAAAGTATTTGCAAACGAATCAACAAAGGATTAATCTCCAAAATATATAAACAGCTCATGCAGCTCATATTAAAAAAACGAACAACCCAATCCAAAAATGGGGAGAAGACCTAAATAGAAGAAGACCTAAATAGCCCCTTCTTTCTCCAAAGCAGACATACAGATGGCCAAGAAGCACATGAAAAGCTACTCAGCATCACTAATTATTAGAGAAATGCAAATCAAAACTACAATGAAGTATCACCTCACACCAGCTAGAATGGGCATCATCAGAAAATCTACAAACAACAAATGCTGGAGAGGGTGTGGAGAAAAGGGAACCCTCTTGCACTGTTCGTGGGAATGGAAATTGATACAGCCACTATGGAGAACAGCATGGAGGTTCCTTAAAAAACTAAAAATAGAATTACCATATGACCCAGCAATCCCACTACTGGGCATATACCCAGAGAAAACCATAATTCAAAAAGACACATGTACCCCAATGTTTACTGCAGCACTATTTACAATAGCCAGGTCATGGAAGCAACCTAAATGCCCATCGACAGACGAATGGATAAAGAAGACGTGGTACACGTATACAATGGAATATTACTCAGCCATAAAAAGGAACGAAATTGGGTCATTTGTAGAGACGTGGTTGGATCTAAAGACTGTCATACAGAGTGAAGTAAGTCAGAAAGAGAAAAACAAATACCGTATGCTAACACATATATATGGAATCTTAAAAAAAAAAAAAGGTCCTGAAGAACCTAGGGGCAGGACAGGAATAAAGACGCAGACGTAGAGAATGGACTTGAGGACACGGGGACGGGGAAGGGTAAGCTGGGACGCAATGAAGAGAGTGGCATGGACATATATACACTACCAACTGTAAAACAGATGGTGGGAAGCAGCCGCATAGCACAGGGAGATGAGCTCGATGCTTTGTGACCACCTAGAGGGGTGGGATAGGGAGGGTGGGAGGGAGACGCAAGAGGGAGGAGATATGCGGATATGTGTATATGTATAGCTGATTCACTTTGTTATAAAGCAGAAACTAACACATCATTGTAAAGCAGTTATACTCCAATAAAGATGTTAAAAATACAAATAACTCAATTTCATTTCCTCACTACAAATAACTCAATTTCATTTCTTTTTATGGCTGAGTAATATTCCATTGTATATATGTGCCACACTCACTACAAATAACTCACTACACCTCACTACAAATAACTCAAATTCATTTCTTTTTATGGCTGAGTAATATTCCATTGTATATATGTGCCACATCTTCTTTATCCATTCATCTGTCGATGGACACGTAGGTTGCTTCCATGTCCTGGCTATTGTAAATAGAGCTGCAATGAACATTGTGGTATGTGACTCTTTCTGAATTATGGTTTTCTCAGGGTATATGCCCAGTAGTGGGATTGCTGGGTCATATGGTAGTTCTATTTTTAGTTTTTTAAGGAACCTCCATACTGTTCTCCATAATGGCTGTATCAATTTACATTCCCACCAGCAGTGCAAGAACGTTCCCTTTTCTCCACACCCTCTCCAGCATTTACTGTTTGTAGATTTTTTGATGATGGCCATTCTGACTGTTGTGAGGTAACACCTCACTGCAGTTTTGATTTGCATTTCTCAAATGATTAGTGATGTTGAACATTCTTTCGTGTGTTTGCTGGCAATCTGTATATCTTCTTTGGAGAAATGTCTATTTAGGTCTCCTGCTCATTTTTGGATTGGGTTGTTTGTTTTTTTGATACTGAGCTGCATGAGCTGCTTGTAAATTTTGGAGATTAATCCTTTGTCAGTTGCTTCGTTTGCAAATATTTTCTCCCATTCTGAGGGTTGTCTTTGTCTTCTTATGGTTTCCTTTGCCGTGCAAAAGCTTTGAAGTTTCATTAGGTCCCATTTGTTTATTTTTGTCTTCATTTCCATTTCTCTAAGAGGTGGGTCAAAAAGGATCTTGCTGTGATTTATATCATAGAGTGTTCTGCCTATGTTTTCCTCTAAGAATTTTATACTGTCTGGCCTTACATTTAGGTCTTTAACTCATTTTGAGTTTGTTTTTGTGTATGGTGTTAGGGAGTGTTCTAATTTCATTCTTTTACATGTAGCTGTTCAGTTTTGCCAACAGCACTTATTGAAGAGGGTGTCTTTTCTCCACTGTATATCCTTGCCTCCTGTATCAGAAATAAGGTGACCATATGTGTGTGGGTTTATCTCTGGGTTTTCTCTTCTGTTCCATTGATCTATATTTCTGTTTTTGTGCCAGTACCATACTGTCTTGATTACTGTAGCTTTGTAGTACAGTCTGAAGTCTGGAGCCTGATTCCTCCAGCTCTGCTTTTCTTTCTCAAGATTGTCAAGCATATTATTTAATCTTTCTAGGCCTTGGTTTGTCTTTCAGATAGGGATTGTAACAGCTCCAACCAATAACTAGTCTATTGCTAAGAGAACCCTGTGTTTTATTTGTTTTGTTCATTTTCTTTGGAACCACGTGCTTCTCAGGAAACTGGGACCTTCTCTAATTCCTGGGTAAAAATGCTGATAATTCTAAGCCAATCACTTTGGTCTCATTCCTCTTGGCCAACTGATTGGTTTGAGCATGGCATATGATTCAATTTTGGCCAAAGAAATGTGAGGAGAGGTCTACAGGAAACCTGGAAAGGTTTTCCTCTCTCTAAAAAGGGGGTACAGGTTAGGGACACTCTGTCTGGACACTGTCATCTGCATGTTAATCTCAGCACTTGGTCAGCCTAAGAGGAATTAACATACTGTAAATGATAGAGAAGACATAAAAAACTGGGCCCTGGATGATCTCATTAGTCTGTTGAATTTACCAACCCTGGAATGACCCTTCCTCTAGACCTCTTCTTAGGTATGAAACACATTTTTCTTATTTGGGGAATACAGATTACAGACCACCCAGGAAATTATATAAACAACCAATTTGTTAACTAACAAGGTTAAGACTACATTTCATTGTGAGTTGGATTTTTTGTTATTAGCAGCTAAAAGCACTCTAGCTGATGGTAAGCAAGCCAACATAAGTATCTAGGGGAAAACCATTTTGGAGAGACTTGGATAGCAAGTATCAAGGCTCAGGAGTAGGAGCCTGTCATATTTAAGGAGAAAGGAGCTCAGTGTGGTCAGATCAAAATTAGAGAGAAATCAGGGAGCTAATGGAGGCCAGATTATAGAGGGTCCTGTAAGGACTTTGGCTTGTATGCAGACAGAGGAGGAGAAAATTGATGGTTTTGAGCATCAATGACATGATCTGACTTTATTTTATCTGGGCCACTCTAGCTGCTGTGTTGAGAAGAGGTAGTGGAGGAACAAAGGCTAAGACATGAAGACCAATGAAAGAGGTGAAATATGATGTTGACTGGGATCAGGGTAGCAGCAGAAGTGGCTGGATTCTGGATGTTTTTGAAGGTGGGAACAACAGAATTTGTTGTCAGACTGATTTCTCTAAGGGCCTGACACACTGTAGGTGTTTTATAAACATCTGCTGAAAGAATGAGTAAATGACTCTGGAGTTCATGAGCTTAACCGCTGCATTATATATTTCCTTTAGTAACAACTTCAGTGGAATTGCTGAATTCTCAGTGGAGATGCACAGGAGTATTTGAATTTATTACCACCTGTTCAGTCTGCTAATCTTCAGCATGAATTAATCACTGCAGATTAGCAGACTGAACAGGTGATATAAAAATCCTAAGAACTGGGTTTGAGCTTTGACTTTTGATAAGTAGAAATTGTGATTTGGAGTTAAGTTACCCAATTTCTCTGACTTTTAGCATCTCTAAGATACAGATCATGATTATTTCATAAGGCTTTGGAGAAGCTGAAAATGCATATATGGGAAAAATGCATTACAAATTATGAAGTATTCTGCAAATCTCAGCTTTTGTTAAGGACTGGCCCTCTGTAAGAATATAGGCTTCCTCCTTGACTCCAAAATTACTTGTTCTTTCTTTTCAAAACATCATGTATCCACTAGTGCCCTTGTTATACAATGGTATGAGAGCTGGGTAGGAGAAAGTTAATTTCAATATTTTATAATAATTATTTCACTATTAAAAATTTTCTTAGCTTGTTCTCTTCTGGATCAAATCACAGTGATTCTTTAAACTCTGAATCATGTTCTAGTTTCTAGTACTTTAAAGCTTCCCTTCAAGGATGAGAAGCATGAATAGGTAACACCCTGTCACATGTCATTTGCCTTGTTATTTTTCTAACAGAATCTCAGGTCTATGACAGCTTTTGATTTCATCTACCTAGATACAATCCTAAATTAGTTTGAATATGATTGAGTCAAATGATTGTAGTTATTCCTATGTAAAGTCTTGAGTTTCTTACATCTTATTCTTTAATAGAAAAAGTTCCAAACCTCAGAGTTGAAATACGATGATACTTGTCTTGGATCATCTCTGCCTTTGTCACTTTTCTGTGCAGATTTAAGAAAACCAGGTGGTAATGCAGGACCTATTATAGGCCTGAAAAATAAAATGTACCTTTATCATTCTCCCTGACTTTAAAAAGTCAGCTTTCAGAATAAAAGCTCACACAAATAATAAAAAGCCAGATAATAACAAATGTTGAAAATGAGAATCTTATTCAACATATTATTTTTACTCTATAACCTAGTATTTTTTCACTGAGCATCATAAAAATAAAAATCTAATTTTTTGTATTGTAACTTTCTATTTGTTAGTCAACGATTAGATGCGAAACCAGTAATTCTCAATCTTTGTGCCAATGGTGTATACCCACTTCCTAAAAGAACTATGTTAAATAAAAATAATAACTTAAAAAAAAAGTCCTTATTATGTGGACTTGTATGTGGACTAAAGCCTGTGAAGATCTTTTTCATTTTGTGCCTTGGCTTTCAGGTTTGATATTCACCGTCCACTGAAAAATACCTTAGTGGCATTATATTTATAGTCAGAACTACTTAAGTATAAATTGGGTTCTAAGGACATACGTAGCAAATGCATACAACAGATGTTGGTAATTTATGGTTATGTGTGCCAAGGCAGTATAAAAACCTAAACACCGTCCTAACAATCCAATAATGATGTGGAAGCATATAAGAAGGAAAATAGTTCATTTAGGACCTGTATATACAGAAAAAGGTAGTGTGCTAACCACATTTCAACCAGTGTACTTTTCTGCTTCCTTCAAAAAACCCTGGTTGGTATAAGTAACTCCATTTTCTATCTGAGCAAAATAACACCCAAGGGCAACATGAACTAGTAGGTGGCAGAGCTGGAGTTTGAACCCTGGTCTATCTGATGCCAAAGTTCATTTTCTTTCTAGCTGCCCTACTGCCACATTCTGAGAGAACAGACATCCATTCAAAAGAGAAAGCTGCCTAAATTCTAGGCCTTAAAAAGAAAAAGTCCTACTTTATGTATGGAAAAAACAAAAGAAGAACGATATTTTCTATTCCCTTTCATACTGTTAAGTTTCTCCATTCTTTGTTTTTTTCCAGAGATGTCCCTGTGCAAGTGTTACCAACCAAGATGGCACTGATGCCCTAAGCTGAATTTTCCAGATTGCACTATGTTCAATTAGAGTCTTACAGACAGGTTTCCCGGTAGGACAAAAATAGTACTAGAGTCACAAGGTTTGGGGTCTGATCCTGGCCACTTAATTACCTCTTGCCTTGGTTCATAAAACTGCTATGAACAAAAACAATTTTGCAAATGAAAAATGCGGAAGTGTGGCATTGTTAGATCAAATTAGTTATCATTTATAAAGTATAAGGAAGTGCTGTATGGGTTTTTTTCTGAGTACAGTTTTTAGCAGATCTACAAATGTAATTACAGCTCAATTCTCTGGCCTCAGGGAATTGGTAAGGATAAAACCATTAACACATAAAATCTTAAAATATAGTAAAGGAACATAACCACAGCACATGCTGTGGACGTGTATGAGGTTTTGCCTCCAATATATGCTTCCACCTGTTTATTTCAAACATATATTTTACTATTGTCAAAATAGAAAGAAATCGCTATGTATCTAATAATCTATTTTCTTGAAAGGAATGTTATTTCCCAGCAGTCAGCAAATTTCCCATAAAAATCCAGACAGGAAATTTTAGGCTCTGAGGGCCACATTTGGTCTTTGTTGCATATTCATCTTTATATTTTAATGACCCCCTAAAGATCATTCTTAGCTCGGGGCCATACAAAAACAGGCAGTGGACTGCCTATTCCTCTTATTTCTTCTTTCTTTTCCTCAATAAGCATCCCTTTACTTGCTGACGCCATTACAGAAACTGACTACATTCGCAACAAAAAGTGTTTTTTGAGTTGAAGTCAGAGGCAGTTACTCCCCAAAAGTTGTATGAAAATTAGAAGCTGACAAGTATGATTATAATTCTGAATATAAAATGTACAACAGCCTTTTCTACTTGTTCTTGCATACTGGGATACAATGTTATGAATTATAAACAATATGGTGTGCAATTTCATATTCAGCAGTTAAATATTTTATAATTCTGAGAAGATAGGAATCAGTATTTACTATATGTTTATTCTGTGCCAGGCACTATATAAGAATCACACATGTATATATATGCATATAAATATGAAATCTCAATCACCACGACAATGCTGTAAGGTACGTGTTGCTATCTTATTCCACAGATGACAAATTTGAGGTTCGGTGAAGTTAACTGTGTAACTTGGTACATAGGGATTTGTCTATTCTTTCAATAAATAATTAAGAAGACGTCTGAATTAGAAGTCAAACACCAGGATTCCAGCCCCAGGTGTACCACTGACTATGTGTGCAACCTTACTTGTTTAAAAAAAAAATGGGGAAGAAGGGTCATGTTTCACCCAGCCTGCCACGGAACGCTCTTGCGAGTATCAAATAAGAGATGTGAAAGTTTTTTATGAATTATAAAAGTGTCATAAACGTGTAAATAATTATTTTCCTTATATGAATTTTAAAATTAGTTATTTTTACTTCAAATTTATTTCAAATGTTATATAAACACATAAGTTAAAAAACAATTTCAGACAACTCTTTAATGAATTAATGTACACTTGAAAAGACTGGCAGGAAGTAGTACACATTACCACCTTGGAGGAGAATCATCCTGCTTTTTAAATCCAGGAGGAAGGGCTGGTCCAAAAAACCCTTCATCATCATCATCATCGTCATCCTGATTTCTCCTCTGTTTTCTGAAAACACAGTAGTGTAATTTTATGCATGTATGTCAAAATTTTCTTCATAGAGAAATTTCCATTTTTAAAAGAACATTAACTTCAACTAGTTGTACAAACACTGAAACAATAAAATAATCTTGTCAAATAAGAAAAAAAATCTACCACAGATCTTATACTAATCTTTTCTTGAAATTCACTTATGGTCTAAAAATAGAGATTGGTTACTTCTTTACAGCAGTAATAATATCAATTTTCTATATTTTCTGTGTTGTTTAAGAGTCCATTCAATGAAGTTTCAAATACTCTACTTGCTAGATATTTTTGAGCAAAACGTTTATGGCACTGGTTTTTAAATTCACTTAAGTAAAGGCTTTAAGTTGCTACTTCTGTCTCTTACTCATTAAAATGCTTTAAAAAAGACCTTGCTATCCAATAATAAACAAAGATTTGACTTCTTATTCACATCGACCTGTGGTGAGTAAGGCTAGGTCAGAGGGAATCATTCATTTACTTAAACAAAAAGCACATACTGCATACATAATTTTTTTTTAAAGCATATTCTTTTTTTTAGTTGTGTGGCTTGTGGGATCTTAGTTGCCCAACAAGGATCGAACCTGTGCCCCCTGCATTGGAAGCATGGAGTCCTGGACCAGTCCATGAAGTACTGGACCACCAGGGAGTTCCCTGCATACATAATTTTAAAAAGAAGATGTATGGTTTATTTAGAATATTTAATCACTTCAATAATACCTTAAGGAAAATTCCTTTATATAAGACTTTTATTGAAATTCTAGATATCTCCAGAGCTATATACTACTACAATAAATTTCTTTCTGAAAGGTAGTTCATGAGGAAATGCCATATGAAGTAATTTCTTCCTGTGCTATATAAATGCAGGTTATGATATCCCCTTACTAGCTCTCTGTTCTAGCCAGCGTACACCAGATTGGAAGATTGGTTTACCATTTAATGTAATAAGTGACTCACCTTGCAGTTGGACCAGTGTCATCTTCTTCAGATTCCTGATTTCCTTCTTCAGACAAAGAACTACTGTCCTCGTCGCTGTCTGATGACTTTGAACTACTGCTTTTATAATTAGGGGGCAGAGCTGGTCCTGCAACTAAAGAAGATGTCTTGTGTATGTCATAAGTAGCCACAACTGTTTCAATGAACTCCCTAGCTGACATTTCACACTTTCTTTTCTGAAATCCTCAGCACTGGCTGGCTATCATTTATTATGGACTTTAATCTCATTTGTTCCTGTTGTGTACAGTGGGCTTGTCTTTCCAACTCCAGGAAGGCAGAAATCATGTCTTACACAGTGTTAACTACGAGATTCACAAAAGCTTTAACACCCAAACTTATAAATATAGCAATAGCACATAATTTGCCTGTCATCTTGCAATTTTTGCATTGGTTGCAATTTTGCTTGGTGCAACTGCCAAAATGGTTTCATGATTTTGTTTTTTCCTTATGGACAGCGTATGGTAGACAATATTTCTATCACGGAGCTAACCAAACAACAAATTTGCCATTCCACAGTCTAACATGGTAAAAATCAAAATTATCCATTCTGGTTTCTGACTAAGAATCACCACTTAAAAATACCTTTATTGGTATTACCATACTTCTCAGTTAGCTTTCTGTTTGAGATGATTTTCCAAGCAGAAACAAAAGTAGAGGCACTCTAAATTCTCCTGCTTACTAGTAGAGATTCAGAGAAGAGAATGAGGTCACATTGGGATGCAGATGCCAAGGAAGAGGTAAGGGTGTTCTGTGCCCACTCACCATAGTGAACTGCTTTCACTTCATGACTTAGCAAAATTATAAATTATTGCATGATGTCATTGTATGATGTCACACAGACCCAACTGTCTATGGCGATCCTCAGCAGTGATGCTAAAACTCTACTGACATAGTTCCCAAGCCTGGGTGTTTATCAGACTTGCCAAAATATTTTTAAAAAAGAGATTCCTGGGCCCTTGCCCCAGAGATTCTGACTTAGTTGGCCTGGAGTAGGGCCTGGAAATATGATTTTCCAAAGAGCTTCCCAGGTATGCTATTCCTTCAGTATTAATAACAACAAAAACGTAAAAGAGATTTACATGCATTTCCCTATTTAATTCTGACAACAACCTTATTAGGAAAGCAGTATTACTTCTAGCTTACAGATGAGGAAACTGAGGCAGAGAGACAGTAACTTGCCCAATTTTACACAACTAAATAGTGGAGCTAGGATATGAACCTCTTAACCGTTATATTAAACAACATTCAACAAAGTCAACATCCATCCATTCAACAAATATTTATTGAGTAAGTACTTCTAGAGAAACAACTTAAAAAAGAAACAAATAAAAAAAGGTGACTGTGAATACGTGGGAGGGTAATTTTAAAGACAGAGGTCAGGGAAGGTTCCCCTGAGAAGACATTTGTAGAGAGACTTAAATGATGACAGTGGTCATGCAACAATCTAAGGGAAGAACATTCTAGATAGAGGAATCACTAGTGTGAAAGTCCTATGGAGAGAACAAGCTTGATGTGCTTGAGGGACAAAAAGGCCTGTGTGGCTAGAGCAAAGTAAGCAAAGTGACAAGACAAAATTGGATGGTTCAAAGGGGCCACACTCTATGCTTTGGGGCCAGACTCCAGCTGTGAATCCCAGCTCAGCCACTTCCTAGCTGTGTGATCTGGATATTATTTAACCTTCCTGTGTTACTCTCTTAATCTGTAAAGTGAGGTTAACAGTAGATCCAATCTCATAGGGCTGTTGTGAAGAATACATATTATACCTGAAAAGCATATAACACTATATCTGGCATACAGCAGGCACTCCACAGCATAGGCTGTGGTAACTGAGTTTGGATTTTAGTTATAACACGCAGTCCCTGCAAGGTTTTGAGTCTGGAGAGATATAATCTGAATTAGCTTTTTTATTAAAACAAAAACGAAAACAAAAAACTCAGCTTGTGGTCAATAGGGAATCAGGAGTAGGGGAGATGAGTTAGAAAGCTGATATGAAATGGTTTGATTTGCACCTGCTTTGAAGAAGCAGGATTTGCTAATGGTTTGGATGTGAGAAGTGAGAGCCAAAAAGGAACTGAGGATGTCGTAGGTTTCTGGCCTGATAAGCTAGCCAGGAGGATGGTAATGCTATTCTCTAATATGGAGAAGACTAGGAGGGAAGCATGTTTGGGGGAAGAGCTAAGAGCTTGTTTTTCACACCTTCAGTTTAACATGCCCATTAGAAATTTCAGTGGTATGATCAGTGGTACTTGGGTATATTAATATAAAACTCAGGGGAGAAAGCAGGCTCAGTGCTGGAACCACTGGTCTATTTCTGAAATTTTTTTCCTATTGCTCCTTGTATTACCATAGAACAAGTGCTCAATACACAACAAACTGACTTCAAAAATCCAAACTTAAAAAACTGGATGCATTTTTTCTACATTCTCCCATGTATCATTAAATAAAGGAAGGAATTATAGAAAATAAATGCTAAACTGGGGCTTCCCTGGTGGCGCAGTGGTTAAGAATCTGCCTGCCAATGCAGGGGACACGGGTTTGAGTCCTGGTCCGGGAAGATCCCACATGCCGCGAAGCAACTAAGCCCGTGTGCCACAACTACTGAACCTGCGCTCTAGATCCCGTGCATCACAACTGCTGAGCCTGTGCTCTGGAGCCCACATGCCTAGAGCCCGTGCTCCTCAACAAGAGAGGCCACAGCAATGAGAGGCCTGCGCACCGCAATGAAGAGCAGCCCCCACTCGCTGCACTAGAGAAAGCCCACACCCAGCGACGAAGACCCGAAGCAGACAAAAATAAATAAATTTATATATTTTAAAAATAGCTAAACTGGTAATACGGCATGCCTAGAAAAGAACAATCAGTGAGCAAAAAGAGGAAAACAATAAGAATTAAAAGATAAAATTCATATCTCCAACTGCTGTTTAAGACTGAAGAACAGTTATGTCTTCGTTTGTAAATGTTCCCCAACTATAAGTGGAGATTATACCTGACTTCTGACCGTAATGAATAACGCCTTTACTGATTTCTGGTTTATCTTTGTATGTACTACTAATTCCTAGAGAAAGCACCTTTTAGAATATAGCAAGGGAGCATACAACCTTCCATAAATATCCCTTTCTTCAAAATTCTAGGTGGTTATAGTTTAACATGAAAGAGCCTAGGGGATTACATTTCACTCTTGGCTCTCTCCATCTTCCTCTTGCTCCTAAGTATTAAAGAGAGAAGTTTTTTTTCCTTTTTAGCTCCTTTTTTTTCTTTCTTTTTTTTTTTGCTGCGCTGGGTCTTTGTTGCTGCGCGCGGGCTTTTCTCTAGTTGTGGCGAGCGGGGGCTACTCCTCGTTGCGGTGGCTTCTCTTGTTGCAGAGTATGGGCTCTAGGCGTGTGGGCTTAAGCAGTTGTGGCACGTGGGCTCAGTAGCTGTGGCTCACGGGCCCTAGAGCGCAGGCTCAGTCGTTGTGGCACACAGGCTTAGTTGCTCTGCGGCACGTGGGATCTTCCCGGACCAGGGCTTGAACCCGTGTCCCCTGCATTGGCAGGTGGACCCTCAACCACTGCACCAACAGGGAAGCCCCCTAGCTTCACTTTTTTTTTATAGGTATCATTTCGAAACTATATAAAATGTCTCAAAAAATTGTTTTAGGCATTTGTAATGAACTATTCCATCTCTTTCCTAAAGCAGTGATGCACGTCATTAAGGTAGCTCTTCTACTGCAATGGTAATTTTACAAGTAGATTACAACTTCCATGAAAATAGATTATGTCATATATTCCATATGTTTCCCTTGTAATATCTATCACACAGAATTATGCATACAAAAAGAAGTACTAAGTATTAAGCACATTAAATCTCATTATAGATCAGCAATCGATTATAATAGGAAACACTGACTCTGAACCCCAATTAAACAAAACGTTATTCCCTCCAAAGCAGTTCCATTCTTCTCATTAGCAGACTTAAACTGCTGTTATACTTTGAATTTCAACAATAAAGATTTGTGGAAATTTGTTTTGCTCTCTTGTTATATACATATTTTTAAAATAATCTTGATTTTGCCTGTTGACTGGCAAAGTCTAAAATATTTACTATCTGGTTCAGGAAAAGCTTGCTGATCCTGTGACAGGATTAAGTCATGGAAATGTCAATAAGGAGCATCCAACTGTCTTTTTTTTTTTTTTTTGCAGTACGTGGGCCTCTCACTGTTGCGGCCTCTCCCGTTGCGGAGCACAGGCTCCAGCCACGCAGGCTCAGCGGCCATGGCTCACGGGCCCAGCTACTCCGCGGCATGTGGGATCTTCCCGGACCGGGGCACGAACCCGTGTTCCCTGCATCGGCAGGCGGACTCTCAACCACTGCGCCACCAGGGAAGCCCCAACTGTCTTTTGATGGGAGTAGGTAGTGACGTCAGTGGTGCAGTGGTTAAGAATCTGCCTGCCAATGCAGGGGACAAGGGTTCAAGCCCTGGTCCGGTAAGATCCCACATGCCGTGGAGCAACTAAGCCCGTGCGCCACAACTACTGAGCCTGCGCTCTAGAGCCTGTGCGCCACAACTACTGAGCCTGTGCTCTAGAGCCCGTGTGCCGCAAATACTAAACCCGCGTGCCACAACTACTGAAACCCGTGCGCCTAGAGACCATGCTCCGCAACAAGAGAAGCCACTGCAATGAGAAGCCCGCGCACCGCAATGAAGAGTAACCCCCCCGGCTCAGCAATGAGGACCCAACACAGCCAAAAATAAATAAATAAATAAATTTAAAAAAAACCCAAACAAACGTGATGGTTGGGCTGAGGCTAAAAGATGAGATTGAGTTAGCAGGGCAAAGGGAGTGTGGATTGGAGGAAGAGTGGCCCAGGCAGAGGGAAAAGCATCTGCAAAGAATTAAAGCCTAAGGGCCTGGCACATCTAGAAATGTGTTCAGAGTGGCTGGAACCAAGAGAAGAGAGGAGGGATCACCAGGAGGAAATGTGGCTGTGAGGTCAAACGAGGTCAGGACTGAAAAGGGTGCCTTGAATTTAGCAAAAGGGTGCTGAGACGATTGGTGGGTGGTCTTCATTTATTTCCACAGTGAAATTGGTGAGTGGTCTCCGTGGATTGGCAAGAACAGAAGCCAGAATGCAGTGGGTTAAGGAGAAAATGGGGAGGATCCAGAGTTGGTCAGAGAGAAAGAGGAGTAGCTACTGGGGGATGTGGAGTAGTCTTCATGAAGATGGGAACGATTTGAATGTTCTGGTTAAATGCTAAGTAAGTAAGTAGGCAAAAAACCCGTGGGTAAAGAGGAGGGCGTGACAATGCTTGGGAGAGTACAGAAAGCCTTCACTGAGGTGACACTGAAGTTAGGGCTTGAAGGATGAGGTGGGAGTTTGTCAGGTACGTCAAGAAGAGTAGGGCGAGGGCCGAAGGAGCCTAGAGAATTGAAGAACTGCGCAGAAACTCGGATTGGTTTGAGCTCTGAGCCGTGTGTGTCAGGACAGGACGAGAGGCTAGGAAGGCAGGTCGGGGGCTAGGGCGCAGAGGTTCGGAGTACGGGCTTCGCTCTAAGTCGGGCTCCACCACTTAACTAACTGTGTGGTATGTGCAACAGCCTGGGCCTCAGTGTCCCCATTTGCTACACGAAATAATAATCTTTACCTTATACAGTGGCCAAGAGTATTAAATCATTGAACGTGCATCGATCGTTTAGCACAGCGTCCAGCCCATCGAGAACTAAATGCGAATACTTCTTGGTGATAATGATTACCAGGCCAAAGCTCGTTTCTACAGGCCCCACGGCCACGCTTGGGAAGGAATGTTAGCTCGGGTGGGGCCGCGCCCACTCGCCACTCCTCCGCCCTCCCGGGCCTCGGGACCAGTACTCTGAGAACTGGGCCTGGCCAGAGACGGGGTGGGAGGGCCTCGCGGGCAGGGGACGTGCCGCCGCTTACCGGGGCTGGGGTCCCGCTCCTCGTCCTCCGCTGACCCGCTGGCCTTGAAGCCGGGCGGCAGTGCCGGCCCGATAAGATCCCTCGCCATCCGCGGTGGCAGACACTAGTCTCACACACAGGTGTATCCACGCCGAGTCAAACCCCCGCGAGGTAGCCCGCCATACGCAGAAAATGAGGGAAGTTTTTCCGGTCCCGACCAATGACGTGGCAGCCTGTGATTGGCTGACCTGTCTCATTAGCGGTAACGGAAGTGACGCCTAAGGCTTGCTCCACATTTCGCACGCTGGCTTCCCTACTAGGTGGATGGCATGGGTGAGCCGGCAAGTGGTTGCGTGACTCGCACGGGGTGGTTTTCAGCTCCCGAGGTGACCCCCACTTTGGAGCCTCTGAGGGACGGTGCCTCGCTGCCGGACAACTGGATGTTCTGGGCGATGCTGCCGGCGCCGCCACCACCGCCTTCGTCGCTTCCCGCAGGAGGGTCCGAACCTTCCTCAGAGGCGCAGCCCCCCGCGGAGGCCCAGAGCCTCCCCCAGGCGCCTCCCCCCTTTGACGCCCAGATTCTTCCCGGGGCACAGCCCCCTTTCGACGCCCAGTCCCCCCTTGATTCTCAGCGTCAACTCAATGGCCAGCCTTCCTGGAATTTCCAGGCTTCAACATCATGGTACTGGACACAGTCTCCTGGTGTTCTTCCTTGGCATCGGCAGCCCCACAACACTCCGGGTAGGTTGTTACTCCTCTCTGTACCACCCCTTACCTTTCCTTTTCCCTTCTTCCCACTCCTTTTCCACCCTCTCTCCCCTTGCTCTCTCCCCTTCTGATACTGCCTTTGCACTCTTGGAGTCTGGTCATTAATGTCTCACAGTTCGTTCCAGTTATGTTTTTCCTGCCTGTTCATTCAGTTTAACAATTATTTATTGAATTCCAACTATGAACCAGGAAGGGGAGATATAGCAGTGAACAAAACATACAAATATCCTTATTTTGAGCTTAAATGCCCTGGTGTAGGAAGACAGACAATAAACGAAAGAAAGCAGTGTGTATTAGAAGGCAGTGAGTGCTATGGAGAGAGAGCAGAGTGACAGGCCGTGCAGTTTTAAATGTCAGTGTCAGTCGTGCGAAAGGTGACGTTGGAGCAAAGACTTCAGGGAGGTGAGGGATCAGAGCAGAGCATGTATCTGGGGGATAGCGGTACAGGCAGAGGGACCTGCAAGTGCAAAGGCAGAAGCTATAGATCAGAATGGAACCCAGTGAGGCAAGAAAGGACTGAGCCGGGGGTGGAGTCGTAGGCAATGGAGGAAGAGGGCCTTGTAGATCGTGGGAGTTCTACTGTTATGATATGTTTAGTTCAGGGGAGTGGCATGCTTTGATTTATGTTTTCAAAGGGTTAATATGGCTATTGATTGGAAATGACGGAAAGGGAGATGAGTTAAGAAGGTATTGCAGTTAACCTGGTGAGAGATACTGGGGACTTGGACCAAGGTGGAGCTCAGGAGGTGATGAGAAGTAGTTGGATTCTAGATATATCTTGAAGGTAGGGTAGGGTCAGCAAAATTTGTTGAGGAATTGAATGTGGGATGGGGTGTAAATAGGAGACGAGAATAACTTAAAGTTTTTTGCCAAGCAAGTGGAAGGATGAGGGAGTAGATTTGGAAAGGAGACCAGGAGTTGAGTTTGGAATATGATTTGTGTCAAGTAGAGATACTGAACTGGCTGTTAGCTGTTAGTTTGTACTTTCAGGGGAGGTTTGTGGCTAGAGCTGTAAATCGGGGTGTCATTAGCATAGAGATCATATTTAAAGCCATGCAATTGTTCGCTTGGAACAATTCAATTTACATTAAGTTGAATCCAAATCAGTGTTTACTGTATGCCTAATGCTGGGGATATGAATGTGCCTAAGACAGTCCCAAGCGAGGTGAGATGGGTTCATAAATATAAATCACAGTGCAGTGTGACTGGTGATAGAGGCATATAAAAGGAGATTTCAGAGTATGGAGAAAGTTGGGGAAAACTTTTGGAAGTAGTGTATTGGGAGATGTTTAATATTCTGGAAGAGATACTTTTTAGGTGGAAGCAAAGAGGTGTCAGTGCAAGGTGAGTTCTGAAGGTTGCAGCGTTCTGGTGTGACTGAAGCATAGTATGTGGAAGGTACAGGGAAGAGCAGGGTGAAAAAATACAGTGGGATCTCATCGAAGGACTCTAGGAAGCTACTTGCTTCCAGAGTCTTGAGCAGGGTTGTGATGACTGGAGGATTATTTTTGTGGTGTCAGTGTGCAGGGTCTGTTGGAAGAGAGGACTTAGGAACTGGAAGCCAGTCTGGAAGGCTGTCACAGTGATCTGGGTGAAAGATCAAGGTTTCAGAGTTGGGTCATGGCAATAAGAAAGGAAAAATATTTGAGAAGAAATTTATTTCACAAGGGTCTGTTTTCCTGATGTAAAATTGATGCTGAAAGAGCTCCATTCGGCTCCAGCACCGTTTACATTTCTTTTTTCTTTTTAAAAATATATTTATTTATTTATTTATTTGGCTGCGCTGGGCCTTAGTTGCGGTACATGGGATCTTCATTGCGGCGTGTGGGATCTTTGGTTGCAGCATGTGGGCTCTTAGTTGCAGCACGTGGGATCTAGTTCCCTGACCAGGGATTGAACCCAGGCCCCCTGCATTGGGAGCACAGAGTCAACTACTAGACCACCAGGGAAGTCCCCGGTTTACATTTCTAATGTTTGAAATAACTACAAGGAATTTTACCAGGTTAGCTTGTCCATTCCTTTACTTAGACATCCAAAGCATCTATGGACATGTAATCTTACCAATATGTATTAATTTGAAAAATGTTTATTTGGTAAACTAGTCTTAATCTTTGTTAATTTGTTTGAATTACTATTCTGCCTAGAAGTAGTTTACCACTGTTTTTCTCAAGTATTTATGACGTTCTGTAGCAAAATTTTAAATAATTGTATAGTTGCAAACATTTCTGGGTCTCATTTTGTTTTTCAGTTAAACATTCTTATCTTCCACGAAAACATGATGCAAAGGTCAATGACTTCAACATGTCTCCCAGGAGAAAACAGAAAAAAAGGGTATTTTTTAAGATGTTCTTGAATGTGACACTTTGGTCCCTATGTCACTGTTTCATATCTTGTGTTTCAATCATAACTGTCTCAGTGTTTTGCATTCATTATTGACACAGCAGAGCCTTGCATAAAAGGATCTTTAAGGGTCTTGGCTGTAAGTAAAAACTTCAAGCAAAATCTTTTTGAGAAATAAATGGAGAAATTGTAGAAAAAGAAAACATTTAATCCATTTCAGTATAGTATCAGGAGTAAATATAATGGGGAATTATGATTACAGATAAATGTAAATGTTATTAAACTTCAATGAAGTAAACAAAAGTGTGATATATATATTATACATAATATATATTATATATTTAATTTATTTATTTTACTAGCATATTGGGAGGAGAAGGATGAAATTAAAAGTTTTTGTTTTTTTTAATGAGGAACAACCCTTCATTATGTTCAGAAACTGAGTCTTAAAATAGGCTTCTTTTATTCTGATGTAGCTTATAATCTGGTCTTTCAACTTTTAAGATGTGTAAATAATTTTATTAGTTTAGAATAAATTGAGTAAATCTACAGCATGAGATTAGTACCCTTCATTTAGGCATCAAAACTATGTAACTAATATTAACAAAATATTGTGAAAGTATGTTTATTAACATAATTTCAACATTGAACAATTGGGGCCCTATATAGCCTATCATTGTAATAATCATTTTTGTTTTATGTTTAAACATAAAAGTAATAAATTGGGAATTAAAAAAAACTAATATTTACCTAAATAGTTCTTTTTTTCTCATTCTGTAGTTAAAATATACACACACGCACGCACGCACTTGTTTTTCCTAAAAGAAGAAATACTGTATTTACCCTGAATATTTATTTTTAGGTCATTTTGACATATGGTCTATTAAGTTTTAATTAGATTACCAATTTTAAATCTACTCACAATTTATATTAGCTTTACTCAGATTTAAAATTTTTTAACAAGCCTGGCTTTTCCTAATGTATTTGTTAAAAATAAAAACAGAATCATCCCTTCATTAAAAATGTATTCAGAAGTGTTTGCCACCTGTAAGGGTTGTGTGAAGAATCAAAATATGTACTGTATTTTTACTGATGATTAGAGTTCTCACCAAAAGCCTAATGCCTCTTCATTTTTGTTTGCAGAAAAGAAAGGAACCAGTTTTTCACTATTTTTGTGATACCTGTGATCGTGGTTTTAAAAATCAAGAGAAGTATGATAAACACATGTCCGAACATATGAAAGTAGGTTTTCTTAGTTGTCCTGATATTTATTTAGCAAAATGGGGGTATTTGGTAGAAATTCTGAGCTTCCTTCCCTTAAAAGTTTATAGTTTTCATAGAAATGTTGTTAGATGACTTGCCAAATTGGGACAGTAACTCTGGGATTTGCAGTTTGAGGGTGGGAAGCCCACTGCTTCAGGAAGTGTGAGATGACAGTAAAAGAGAAGGGAGGTCTGGCAGCTGTTTGTATGTATGCGCCTCATCTGCTCTGTGAGAGGCTGGGCCTCTCCTCCGGTTGCTCCGTGCTCCTTTGTGAGTTCTTTCTCCTTTAAGGCTGCCCTTGACTAACCACACAGTGTAATTTGCCTTGGCCCAGCACCGTCTACGGGTGGTTTACACCGTATTAAGTACTTTTAACCAGGATATTTGAGAAGTAAAAAAGTTAAAAAGAAAGTTCTTAGTTTGGAAAGGTTCTCTTTCAGTTTGTAGGCGTGCCCCTTAACTTTAGGAATTAAGAACATTTTACAACATTGCTGATGTCGTGCATTCACTCAAGTGGAGAAGTAAATGATACGCATTACTGTACTATATACTTAGAGAGTGCAACTCTGTTTGGAGTGATTTTTGTTTTAGGTATTCAGTGATAACACCACATAGACGGGATACTGTGTAATATGACCAGAATATGTCTGTATATATAGTAGTAAGGTAAATTTTTTATGGAAAACATTGAGTAGCCTTTCTTAAAAATTCTTACAGTGCCCTGAGGTAGATTGCTCTTTTAGTGCACATGAGAAGATTGTCCAATTCCACTGGAGAAATGTAAGTTCTTTTTTTGTTTGTTTGTTACATGCTC